TCCAGCACCTGAGTTCGCAGTCGGCGCACAGTCTTGTTACTAATGCTTTTGATGGTGTCCATCTATATCTAAGGAATATTTTATCCTCCGTTTGCGACCTTGCCCATCGTTTTGGCTACCTTTAATCCCCAACACAGCAGCAGTAAGGGGCTCAGCGCGCAACATATAACAGAACACGGGTAATTCCCGCGGGGGACGCTAGTGCGTAAACACGGGTAATTCCCGGGCAATCCCAAATGGTGACCGCGAGTCCCCCTTACTGCTGCTTAGTTAGGAGCTTGTAAATATTGATTGAATTTCTTCGTAATGTCGCAGTCAGGAAATTCAGATCAACACAACCGGCGAAGAAGAAGACGGTGGATGAAATTCAAAAAGACCCTGTATATGCTGAGATCCCTGAAGAACAACGTAACAACGCACCTCCAGTTGATCAGGCGGGAGGTAAGGATTAAAGCTCCATTTTATAATAACACAGAGTATTCTTGCAATCTGCTTAGCTTACAGCTATGGTCAATAAGAGGACATCGCGCGCTTGAAACCATTTTTCTTTTAAACTTTTTCCTCTCGTTTTTAGATGTGTGTTTTTATTGGTCATAGTAAGGTGTTAATCATTTATGGTCTAGGGTCCGACTAACCTCTCCCTTAGGTTCCGATCGCGCTTCCTGATCAGTCTGTAATTCCTCCCGGGATAGCGGTGTCGGGGTCGAAAATTCTGGCGTAGCCGTAAATGCTTTGCGCTACCATACAACGCTTCAGCATTCGGGTCTCGGAGTATGGTCTCCGGTTATTTTTGATAAATCAAAATCAAAAAGCAAAAAATTTTCAAATGGTATAGGCAAAGAAAAATAAGATAAATATCTTGCTTATCATTAGCTCGTTTAAAAGCTTAAAAAGCAAATCTTCGACCCAGTTTCTCTTACAATGCTCGACCTTATCATGTATTCTTTTATTATTATTATTATTATTAAGGTATATATAGCTATGCATTTGACGACCCACAGACAGCATATATAGCACCCCAACCAGCTCCATATAACAGACTGGAGCACAAACAACAAGGGCTTAATCAGGAAGGGGCGTTATACTCCACTGCAGATGATGGTCCTGTGTATAATGTCCTAGAACGTCCCCTAGCTGAGAACAATATTATTATGGCGCCAGAGAGTACCGTGAATGAGGGACCTCCGTCTCAAGTCCTCGAGCCAGAGTATCTAGTCCTTGAGGAGCCCGATACAACAAATGGAAACAAGGACGTAAGACCCTCGATTGGGACAGCCAATCCTAGCGGACCTCAAAATATGGCTCCGAAATCAAGAAGAAGGCCTCCTAGTCCACCAAGAAAAATATGATTGTCAAAGTAATGGAATGACACGTAGTTTAAAATCGGAAAACATAATGCCCAAGCTAAAGGAGGTCCCTTGCACGGAGTCCCTAGAGGAATTGTTCTGGGGCACAAAACGATGGATTTTTTATTTTGTATTTTTACATAAGAAAAGACGCCCTATATTGTTTGTCCCCCAGAGTAAAGTCACTAAACCCGTGGAACAGATATTCGACTGTAACACATTAATAGACTTTAATTCCATTGTTTATTTTTGTGTGTCTATTTTTTAATATTTTTTTTATTTCTCGGATTAATGCCTTCACTATGGTTAACCCAGGTATACGTCATAAATATATATCGTTAAAAATCAGCTATTTTTCTACTTAACTGCTTGGTTCAATTTTAAAATAAGTATATATAAGAAATTAGATCGTATACGGATAATTCAATAATTAAAAGAAAAGAAAAAACATATACGTTTTACAGGAAGAGGCTAATGAAAAGCTTACAGAGAACTAAAACATTTCATTAAAACTTTGTTATTCAATACTATCTTTGTCATTCTGCTCAAGATTTTGCGGCCGCTGGTTTGTGGTTCACCTATAGCACACTTGTCACTCACTCAATCAATCAATCAATCAGTTTTACCTTTCTGGAAATATAGTAACAAGTATTCAAAATTCTATTAACAATAATTGTACAAATATGTAATAAAAGAAATAGTGATTGCAGATTTTATAATTGAATGTATATATATCCAGAAGGAAGACACCTAAAGAAGAAACCATAGGCTTATATTCTTGAGGTGTCTTA